ATTTCGCTGCTTCCAGTCTTCTTTCACCAGGCCAATCTGTAATGCTTTCTGAAGATAATTCCCTCCGGAAATTAAACTCTTCAACACATTCAGTCGGGGACCGCCGTGTTTAGTTTGAGTAAACTTTCTTCCCCCATTTTTTCCTTCCTCGTCGTCGAACTGTATAGACGCCTCTCGACCTTTTATTTCTTGCATGGTTTCCCAAAGGAAAGAATCTAATTTTAAGTCGTTTTTTTGTTACGAAGAAGTATCCTCTTTCCCTCCCATCACCTAGTGAAAGTATGGAAAATATATGATAATTGTTGTTACTGGAAAGATTAACTGCTTTTATTTTGAAAGATTCAAAAGTATGCCGATATAAATTATGATTTACAAAGAAAAGAGCATAGTATCAAGTCGCACCAAATCGTAAAAAACCTGAATATCAGTCCTACAGCATGAGTATGTTATATAAAAATCCACACAATAATCTACCTCATCATATCTATATCATAAGTAATGTTTTCTTTTGAAAGAAGCATCGTGAAAAGTACGTTGCGTTACCAATAAATTATCCTAGATAACATTACATTTTTAAAAAGAAGATTTTGAATAAATCTTTCGACGAACAAATTTGAAAGTTCCTCACTAGTAATGATGCGAAATTGCGAAAGGGAGATTCCCCAAGAATATTTGTGACCTCGAGTTTCTTATCCTTTGCCCCCCCCCCCCCCCCGCCCCTCACAATTTTAATTATTTTCTTTTGCATGCTCTAGCTTATTTAAGGATTGTTTTATGTTTGATGAAACTCATTTAAGCATTAATTTTAAGCTAAAATTCATGGAGTATTTACTGTAAATAATGATTCAATTTCAAGTTCAAGTTCATTTTATTCAAAACAACACAAAACATGACCTAATCTCTTACAATCGGAATATAGAACACACAAACACACCCGCGCACACATAAATACACAACAAACACACTGATGAGCAGGTCCATAGTGGTCAAAACGCATTTGAGAATGAGAAATTATTAAGATACAAAGAAAAATTATGTCAGTCTTTCAAGTAGATACGTTTTAGATAACCTTCTAAACCTAGAAAGATTTGTACTAATTTTTTTGTTTATCACCATCAGGCAAACTGTTCCATTTTAAAGTCGCCGGGGGGGGGGGGGGGATATTGGAGAGCGGGCTCCAAGATGCATGTGGCTGCAAAGCTAAGTAGTCGACGAGTTGATTAAAATATATGTTCATTTCAAAATAGAAAATTCACAAAGAGAACTATCCTCAATTATTCCTATGGCGAGGTTCTGCATAATCCATTGGGTGGATTCAGGTAATATCACAAGTTCAGGTCATTGACCTAACATTCATATGGGCGGAGCATCGTTATAAAATTATATAATTCAAAACAAAATCTGCATTTCAATCATGAAAGTAATCAAAACAATCACACCACGCAAAAAGTAACCACAACGAGGCATGTAGTTTGGCAAGCCAATTTACTTTTACATTTCCCCTCCAATTTTCAACCTCTTTTAGGGAGCGAAGATTACCCTTAATATTTTTCGAAGAGGACATGTGCCCAAGCTTCCGATCGCAGCCCCTACAAAAAAAATCATGTCTCCATTATCGGGAAAATGGTTGCCCGTTTGTCGTTTCAATCATCCCTGGTCCAATTTCATTGAGGTACAATGATTTCTCAGCGATATTCCAGCGAATTCGACGACGGATAGATTAAAAGAATCTTTGTGAAATTATGTTTCCAAAACTAGGAAATCATGTGATCTTATTACAGAATGTATACAATCCAATTTATGCACAATCGTCTTCTCTTCATTTTATATAATTTGCATTCGGGTTAGATGGACAAACTCTTGAAAAAGCACCGTCTAAATTGACATAATTACTCAAAAAGGATTGTTATTTTTAATTAAGTTTAAACTTGAAACAATTTGTGTAAGAGCAGAACAACCGACTGTTGATAAACTTTCGCTTTTCTAGAAACTGTTCGATCTGTATACATATTTTAATTATTGTTGATTTTCTTAAATTCATACAAGATGAATTTGAGTTTGAGATTATCTACTTATACACGGTTAAACGCATGACATCAGCTTAGAGCTCCTTTCCACCCAATCCATGATATAAATTACAGTACATAATTATACATAGAAAATAACAATGACAATTTGACAACAACCAGAGGCCGCGCTCCCGGGGGCAGCACAGTGCCCCACCCCCTTTTTCAGGTAGCCCCAAAGTGCCCCTTTTACATAGGACATATACCCCTTTTCCTTTGTAATAATTGCCTCCTTCCCCCTCTGATATGTGCTCTTTCTTCTTTGATGAGTGCCCTTGTTCACCTTTGATAAGTACCCCCTTTTTATTTGATGATACGTGCCCCTTTTCCTTCTCATAAATGCCCCTTTTTCACCCTCATTAATTGCCACTATCAAAATCTGACAGGTGACCCTTTTCCTATGTAATAAATGCCCCCTTCCCCTTCTGATAAGTGCTCCTTTTCCTCTTTGATGAGTGCCCCTGTTCACCTCTGATAAGTACCCCTTTTATTTTACGTGCCCCTTTTCCTTTCCCATGATTGCCCCTTTTCATCTCTGGTGAGTGCCTCTTTAAAGGTGCAAGAAATTCCCCTCTTCACCTCTGATATTTTTGCCCCTTTTTACTTTGACTACGATGCCCCTTTTCCTTTTTGTTAAGTGCACTTTTTCCTTCTGTTAAAGGTAATACAAAGTTTTGGTATGGGGTCATGAATTTGGTTCAAATGAACATAATTATTGGAAGCATATGCGATCCTACAATATTCAGTGATCGTTGTCGCGGTTGAAATCGAATCTTAAGTTATGAAATTGTAAATATTAAATTCTTTATGTTGTATAGCTCCCTCAAGTCAAGTCAAGTCAAGTCAAGATATTAATTAAGCTCTTAAACAAGGTTTCTTGACTAAATTCGCGCGATAAGCTATTCCCGTTTGGAAATATATATCACAGCTATATTCTTAAATTTTCATGGTAGCAGCTACCATTGTACGGCCGTAGGCGTTATTTGAAATTTATCAAAATTTACCGGGAGCACCGGTTAATTTCTATATTCAATTTTTCTCGAAAGCAGAAGTGTTTTAGGGGTTAAAATTGTTGGTGCTTATAATACATCCACAGGGGCAGAACTCTTTCGCTACGCTCGCTCGCATGTTTAGTTGTTCTTCATTAGTTTGTGCTTAAAACTCATCAGGGTTTGTTTTTTGCCCTCTTGATTAGATGTAATTTTTCGCACTGCGACCTGTCACAAATTTTAAAATGTTTGCACGCTCACTTCGCTCGCTCGAAAATTAATGATCAGACCATCACAACCAACTGCAAAGTATGTTAGCAGAATCTCGTAACACGTACAAAGAGAAACAAAATGATATCGATGTCATCCCTGCTAGCGTAATCGCAATCATGACGATGTAGGGGTATATACCAATGTCTAAAACTGGTGTATGTTCACTTTGAGGTTTATCTATGGAGGTGCCCTTTTTTTTCTTCTTCAGAAAGTGCGGTTTGGTGCCCCCCACACACGCACCTTGGAAGACGCACCCCGTCGCCCTTGACAACAACAAGACAACCTTACTCATCAACGACTATATGGTATAATTACGAATGATGCCTACGATTATGAAGTCATTCCATCGTTATTATTCATTTCAGATATAGCAAAAATAAATAAACTGCTTTGTTTTGACTTCGGTAAAGATAAACATAGGGAGACTGTGTGCGTGGGTATGTGCGTAGGGATGTCGTGTTTGCATGAGGATGCATGCGAAAATGCATGTGCCTACAGAGAAGCTTGAGTTCTGGTAATAATAGAAGAAAAAAATTCTGACAGAATCCAACAAAACTTATACTTAATGTTAGTGTTCAAGATTACAAATAAATGTCATGTGCCAAACGATTTTGGTAGAAAATGTATAGGGAAGTAATGAGCATAGAGAAATAAGGAATTAAAGCCAAGTAGGCCCATTACCAACACCATGTGCAGGTCTCTACGTGCAGTGAGAGTTGTGGTTTTTATTAAAGATGATTTCCAGCAAGTTTATATTTTTACTTCTTCAAACAATCAATCTACTGCTGGATAAACAATTCACAATTATTGTAGACATGTTCTCTCGACATACGATTCCCATACCAAAGATTAGTTTTGACTATGCTTTACCAAATCTTTTGGCAAACGAAAGTCAGTCAGAAACTTTAGACCTAATTAACTTAATCTAATTTACAAGGTAGTCTGAGATTTTCAAAGGAACTCCAACCTCATATCATCGTGATTATATTCCTGGGCTTATAATTAATAAAACCTTACTATGTCTAATAATCAACTTACTAAATGATGCACTATATTAGTTTACAACTAGCTTAGGATGAACATTATCATATCAACAAGAAATACAATAGAAATTCTCAGCCATTGAACGTTTTATTTGTGGAAATCTGTGAAACAGGCACTTAAGCTAGTTACGTTTCTCTAATTTTTCGATGGCTGTGACATGGTGACTACAATGGTGAACAGATTTTGAAAGATGCCACTCCTTTGCTTGCTTTCCTGTGTGAATAGCTCCGACGTTAAAAGCTTATCCCATTCTTTTTCGGATTTCGTTCATTACCGTGTCCGGATTAGCCTAATTGATTGCCTTAGAATTTGACTTTGCTGCTTCAACTACGGCTCTTTCGTGCCAAATAACTGAACAAAAGACCCATTAACCTATTATCATTGAGTAGTGGAATTACATTCACACAATGTTCCGGATAAACACATTCCGGATTAAAACTCCAACTGTGAGACAGGCTTTTCGCTTGCATTCTAAATCAGGGGAACAACGTTGGTCTCACACAAATTAAACTTAAAGTGGAAGTAAATATGGGTGCAAGAGAATGTAACCACAGGCACAGTGCACACAGGTCGTCTGTTTTTTAAAAGTAAAGAATACAATTTGGTAGTATCTTGCTGAGTTTGAATGCTTGAGGGTAGAGCGATGCCAACCACACGAACCAAAAGAAACCTCCTCCTGATGAACGCCTGGCTGGTCGGAAAGAATTACTGCGCCGTAACTCGCCGCGCTGGCCTCGGTCACGTGACTTATTGATGAATGCCTAAAGCCACTACAGCGCTGTTCGCAGTAGTTTCGAACAGCACACACGAACACACGCACACGAACTACACACAAATATAGCTGGACTGTACTGCACACAGTGTTCGCTGACACAAGTCGCGACCCAAGCGGCCCCGTTAATGCATCACTTCATCGCTCTGTGTAATGTGCAGCGCGGCGGGCTGTGAATTGATCCCAATGCACGCTTGCATGCTCATTCATCGTACGTGTATAGTATCATATGTACCCATGCGGCATAGCGTGCAGAGAGAATGTGGCTTGTGCATCGACATCGCCCATGGAGGCAGAGGATTCTTGCATGGAAAGCAACACAAATGTGAAGCCGTTGGGACACGAAGAAGTCGTCGAAACAGAGTTAGTCACTCTGTGGACGAAATGCCATTCGAAAAGTACCAAGAGGAAACTCACATTTCATGTTTGTTTCCTGAAGTGCTCGCGCTAATATTCGGTTATTTGGACGTGCGTGATAAGGGTCGGGCTGCCCAAGTGTGCCGTGCATGGAGGGACGCTTCGTATCACCGTTCGGTATGGAGAGGTGTGGAAGCCAAGTTACATTTACGCCGGTCAAACCCCTCTTTGTTTCCCAGCCTTGTGGCGAGGGGGATCAAACGTGTCCAGATACTCAGTCTTCGAAGGAGTTTGAGCCATGTCATGCAGGGAATGCCAAACATACAAAGCCTAAATCTGAGTGGTTGCTACAACCTGACTGATGTGGGACTCTCACATGCCTTCTCCAAAGAGATCCCTACACTGACAGTACTCAACCTAAGTCTATGCAAGCAGATCACTGACACTAGTCTTTGGAGGATAGAACAGTATTTGAAGCAATTGGAGGTGCTTGACCTTGCAGGATGCAGTAACATAACAAATACTGGTCTTCTGGTGATTGCAAGGGGACTTCACAAACTCAAGGGTCTGAATTTAAGGAGTTGTCGACATATATCTGATGTTGGTATTGGATATCTAGCTGGAGTGAGTGTCGAAGCAGCAAGAGGAACACGAGATCTTGAACTTCTAGTGCTGCAAGATTGCCAAAAATTGAGTGACACTGCTCTCATGAGTATCGCCAAAGGACTCCACAAGCTTCGAAGTTTGAATCTTAGTTTCTGCTGTGGAATCACAGACACTGGTATGATCAGCCTGTCACGGATGCAAAGTTTGAGAGAACTTAATTTGCGAAGTTGTGACAATATCAGCGACATCGGGCTGGCGCACCTTGCTGAATATGGAGGCCATTTCGCAACGCTTGATGCCAGCTTCTGTGACAAAATAGGTGATGCAGCGCTCTCACACATTTCTCAGGGAATGCCAAATTTGAAGAATGTCAGTCTTAGTTCTTGCCATATCACGGATGAAGGTGTAGGGAGGTTAGTACGCAGTCTTCACAACATGACCACTCTAAACATTGGCCAGTGTGTTCGAGTGACTGATAAGGGACTGGCTCTGATAGCAGAACACCTCAAGGAGTTGAAGTGTATTGATCTGTATGGATGCACAATGATCACGACTGTTGGACTGGAGCGTATCATGCAGCTCCCCTGCTTGACTGTTCTCAACCTAGGACTTTGGCACAAAAGGTAGTACTTGCTGTCATGTTCAGCAATCCAGGGAAAAGAAAAAGCTGAACAACGAACAAACGTATTAAATATAGGCCTATGAGTCTTTTTAATGATTCAAAAAGTTCATGAAATACTGCTTTTCAAAACATTATTTTTTACTTGTTATATATTATGATGGATGTACCTATACAAATTACAATGCCTTTGTAAAACATACAAATTGAACTTCAAGGAGGACGTCCCACCGACCATAATTATTTTAATACAGTTTTAACTTTTAAAATACATAGCTTTAGAGTTCACACACAGTTACATGTAGAAGCTTTAAAAGCAGAAAAACATATCTTGGAATCTAAACGATTAGAAAATAGAATTCTAGTGTTGTCCTGTATTTAAACAAAATTTTAGAGGTCATGGGGTAACATTTTAACTGTTCTGACGTCTGAAAATCATGCTTCAAAGTGTGAAGAGACAATAATGCGAGGTTACATGAAGTTTGGAATCAGGAAATTACGGAGTTGGCAATCCAAAACAGAAATTAAAACAAATACTATGAAACTTTCCGTTGGTCAGAATCGGAACTACAATGTACGTGTATAATAAAAACATTGTTGTGTAGTACATGAGGGAATCAAGTCTTCATTGGCTACTTGATTTGTTTGACAATTTATCATAAAATCATGATAATTATGCGGGTAGCGAGAAACCTGTAACTTTATATTCTTTATTTCACTTCAGGGATACCGCAAGACTGAATTTACATAGACATCGAAGTCTAGTTCAGTTTTTATCATCCAAAGTACTCATATTTGTTCACCCAGGCAGACGGAGAGTCAAATTGTAATCGTAATGTAGTAATGTCCATGATGCATTTAGAAGATTTTGCACATACATGTACCTGGTAATCTAAAGCATTCATATTATGAAACCCTGTGAAATTATGAAAGCGCCAACCATTGACATACACAATGAAACTGCTGGTTGGTCGTGCTAGGTTTATGGTTGTGAAGTATTAAATAACACGCAGCTATACACTGCAGTCTGTATTGGCATTGTGAGCAGTCGGATCTGGCGGTCAAAGGTCATCCAGTGTAGCCTTTGACCTCGGTTGTTTTGACAAGCTGAAAAGAACTTGACAAAATATAGCCCGATCTCACAGCACAGCTCGCTGCTCCACAATACCACTGCATTGCAGGGAACAATCGCTTGCTGAGATCTGCAAAGGAAATGCCCTTGGCTTCGACGACATGAATTGTTATTTCACTTCTCAGGAAAGCAAAAGAGAAACTAGAGAAATAATAAGCATATACAATATACATGTACCCACAGGAGGCTCGAATATAGGCAGACAACGCACTGGTAGTTTTAAAAGAAAATCATCTACACACACATACACACTCAGTACTCGTGTAAAACACTCGTTACTAGGTTTATCAGTAGTATCAGGCAAATTATCTAAAAGTTCCTAGTAGAATTTTCGTTGTCGTGCATGTGGCAAACTGGCAAAGGACTTGACAAATCTAATCGTCAAAAAGGTTATGAGCAGTTCCCCGGTATTTTGAGTGGAAGATTTAAAGATATGAGAAGCTTCCTGAAATGGGCTCAGGATAGCAGGATTTCAGAATTTACCTACTAAATGTATTTAAGAATTTATCCATACATATAAAGGGACAAGAAGAGGGAAACTGCGCTTTTAAATCTTGGGAAGAGCGGAACTGCAGATTGAGTTGAGTCTTCGTTATCTAGCGCAGATATTCATTTCCTATGTGTATGTCACGTTAGGTAACGTGCTAAGGGCAAAGGGGATATGACGATTTTGCTCTTTACTCTGCTGAGTTTCACTTGATTCTCTGTATGCTTGGAAGTGTGTTCATACTGCCCAACCGTCAGTCGATTGCTTTCTATACTAATTAAACCATGGAGTAGATCCATGATTAAACTAACGTTAAGTTTAAAATATAAATCCTCCTTCTTTACCAAAGTAGGTATGGGTAACTGTTCTGAACAAATCTTCTCGACTTATTGGTTTACAGTTCAATATATTTTTGAATTATGTCTTGTATCGAACCGAAACACATCAGATCTGGGGAAATGCATAAGGGCTGGTTGTTAGTTTAAGTGCAAATACACAACCCTTTGGTTAACATTTTGGCAACGTAAATGATTTACTATGATCATTAGTTAACTTATACGGGAAATGGATATCGAGAGAAGGAATTCCCGATTCCGTTTATACTAAAAGGCAACATAGAATAAGTATGTCCTCATATTCTAAAAATATATATCCTGTAGATTATCATTTGTTATGAAGACTTGTGAACCCTGTATGGAGGAAGAAAGGGGGGGGGGGGTACATGTCAATTATGGTCACCAAGCAAACATTTTGACAATCTTCCAAGGTTGATTTTATCCTGTTGGAACAACTGAGCTCAAATGTCAGCAGGAAAAGGAAAAAGCAAGGATGATGGCAAAGATCTTTTAAGCATACTTCATTGTTCGATGTTGATATTGATAATTCTGTAATCATTTATCTTGTTAACTACGTCATGAATCATGTTTGATATAGAAACTAATTTCATTGTCTGATGACTAAGGTACGTGTACATCGTGATGTCTCTGAAATGTTATAGCGTTGACTTGCAAGATCAGGGTGGTCAAATTTTGTTCTCAAATTGTGATAAAATTTACATAAATAAATCCGAAGAGTACACTGGTGATGCACATCGTGATTTCTGATACTAAATGCATTTCTTAAGAGTTGGGAACGGTCCATAATCTTGAAATTAAATGTAGTGACCTATTGTAACGTGTTTCTTCGATCAATTAGGAAGTAACAAATATAATTAATGCACTGCAGGCACTAATGAGAACAATACGAGTTTCAGGTGACGAGGTATGGTCAAATATTTCTCTGATTTCTCGTACATGTATTTTGTAATGTATGTCGTTCATACATTAATAACAATTATCGATTCCTTTTTCATTCCAGAAGCCTTTGCTCTTCACTAACACTTTGTCCATGTTAATACTATGAACATTTTCAAGATGATTTTGGCTCCTTAAAAGCAGCCACATAAATATATGTCTGGGTATGTGAAAGTACGTAAATTTTATAAAATTATCAGCACAATGGATGATTTTAGATTTCTAGATTTACTACCTCATTTAATATACTTTTGAATGTATGATTATATGTTCTTTTGATTGGTAATGAACATTTTTTAAACATGGATGGACAATTATAAGATTCATGAGGATGAGTAAGTTATAATGAGATGAGTATAATTATTGCACTTTATAATAATTAAACCATCATGTACAATGTACGATCATACCACATGACTTCCAAAGGACTAAACATATTAATGATTTAATATTGTTCCCCATTTATAATTGAACTTTGTATATGAGTTATACATTTGATTTGATACTCGAAAGTAGTACGCTGTAATACTTTGGGTTATGGAATGTATACATACAGTCATGTATGTATCTTCAATTTTCGCATTTTAAAAAGTAATCATATATTTACTGTGATGACAGGATATATTTGCCATACTTTGTTAGATTTGTGGTGATAAGATGTCATTTCGATTTCTTATTCTCATGATACCATTGCATTATAATCCAATATGCTCGACCATGTTGGTTTTAAAGTCTTGTCATATTTTATACAGTTATTATATGCGACAAAAAGTCACAAAGTTGATATACGCATTTTACAAAAAGTGGTGAACTTTGTCGTAGCCTTATACGTCAAATCAATTGACATTCTAAAAATGATGTTTTTATCTTTTGTCAGATGTATGTAGCTTCAATGATTATACTGGGAATATAATATTCAATATATATATTAAAATAATGCAAACATAAAAACATTAAAAAAATCGAGTAATGGTTTCATTTGTTTATTTGTCATACAAGCTGAGAAACATGCTGTTAAAATTCAAAGTACACTTCCCCGTACAAGTGGATAGTAGAGTAGTAGACTCATCAATATAATGAACGAGTTCAACTTTTTTAAAGGGTCTTGTAAATTATGTTGATGATAAATTGAACATGATATATGTTTTATTCATTTCACTGTATGAATATTTATTGTTATGATTGAAAATTAATATTAAGTTTTCACCTTTTAACCGTTGGTTATATTCCGGTTCAGTCATATTCTTAATCAAATTAATCAATTACAAAGATAGCAAAGTTCGTCATGTACAGCATTAAAATACACGCGTGCGCACACACACAGTTAGTCATTTTTACACATGTACATGTGTATATGAAATGGATGATTTCAAACAGAATATAGTGGGAAACAAATAAATGTTTAAAAATTTTACAAAATAGTATTTCCCTGAAAACATGTATTGTGAATAAAATTGTAACGGAGTAAATAAGAATAAAAGTTTAACCAGAATCATATCATTATAATCTTACATAAAAGTCGTATACGAGCTAAATTGTCATTAATACAGGTCTTTGCAGGACCATTGTGATAACTTGAATTAAATTTTAAAAAACAAAAAACATATCCATGTATAAAAAAAGTAAAGCAAAAACTATTTCGACTAACCAAAAAGAAAACTATGATTATTTTTGCAGCACTTAATTCTAGAGTACTACACAACAACACTCGATCATCTATTGTGACATTCTTGATCCCTGGTATAGTCAAGTATTTGTCTCTTTAAGTGTCCAGGATAACTCCTGGGAATATGCGAAGTGTTTGTCTCTTGTTTTCAATGTAATTCTATTTTCTCAAATTTTGCTTTTCTTTCATTTTCTCCCTTTTCCATACACCGAACGATTTTTGTCCAAGGTTATTGTCCCTTCTATTCGCTTTTACAATTCTTCCATACTTTTCCTTTTCTTCCTTTCCCTACTTCTGCTTACAATGTCTGTCTCAAGTATCTTAGAAGAAGAAACGATTACGAAAGAAGAAGAAAGAGGTGGTTGAGGGCACGAATTGTATTCAATATATTTTCATCGAAAAAAAAATTCTCGAAAACCTCAACTGTATATCAACAAAAACAAATGATAATAATACATGTAATTATGATGATGATAATTCTATCAATAATAATAATGACCATTGTCGTCATCCACAATATTATCAACAACATTATCACGATCGCAATCAAATTGAGACAATAAACGACCAAAGTCAATTTCAAAGCGTTGTTATTCACCCTTTGAAACGTTCAAAGATTATAATGACCTATTGTACAATCCGAACCTGATTTCTAAAAAGAATAATTGAAATTGCTGAATTTGATTTCTTGGAAAGAAGTCCATATGGTCGTGTCAAATGGTCTTATTTAAAGACCGTCAATACTACTGGGCCAGAAGGGATTAGACCACACAACAAGGTCACTGACAGGTGACTATCTCATTAACTCAGCTCTCAACTAACATAAGACGAAGAGGATCATGGGGGACCAACAGGCACCGATTGGGGAAATTTTCTATATGGAGGGAGCAAGTAGCTACAAGTAGGACAGTGGGGCTTTAACAAGGACAGCCTCACCAGTACTGTACCCTGAGGATTATTACTGGATTAACCCCGACATCGTCAGGCACTCATTTAACAATCTTGGGTGGAGAAGGACAAATGTGGTAAAATGCCTTGTTCAAGGATGTTAACAGCCAGCATGAATATTCAGTTCTCAAGCTATAAACAAAAATGGAAGGACGTGTATGATTGTTGAGATAATGTAAACATAATTCTTGAGAGTTCGTCAAAGTAATGCTCGAATGCTGGTGCAATTCGGCATTGTTTTTTTTTTTTTTTTTTTTATTTTTATTTATATTTATTTATTTATTTTTTTTTTTTTGGGGGGGGGGGTGGGGGGGGGGGGGTTGTCGTATCACAATACACTCACTCGCATGAAAAAAAAACATTATTGATTTAACGCATTAACAATTTATGAGCCCTATCTAGTGATGAATACTGTTACATGCTAATTAGTTTGATAATCGATGTACAATCTATCTGAACCCCGTTTGAGTATTACTTATCTTTCATACCAAACCATAAGTTGAAGACGATAAAATGCACTCGTGCTCGAAGAAAGCAGGTATAATATTTATGATTATAATGAATGGACAATCACATTCTTCATTGTTTATTATTTTTAAATGAATATGGCTCTCCTCGATCCGTGTCTTTCGCTTTAAAGCCGATTAAAATATAAGAATAATTTGTTCGACGTCATAATCGATTTGAGGTGAATCACAAATGTATAACACTAACTTGAGCTCCCACACAGGTAAACGCACACCAATCCAGAACAACTGCCCGTCGCCTTCCATTCGCGTCCTATATAGACCGGTGTAATAACATATTCAAATTATGTGCATACCTTTTTAAAGCAAAATATTATTCTTGACAACCTGAAGGCTTGCCCGACATAGCCATAAAATAATGTATGCAGGCTCGATTCCAAGTATTGAAGTTGATTCGTTGATAATAGGTTAATAAATACCTCGTCACTAGGTCCATGGGAAAGAAACATACATTTTGAATATGTTAATAAACTGGTATATTGAACACGGCAAAATTAGGCCTGTTTTCACTATCCCGATATTGCCAAATATCCAGCTATTTGAACTATCCCGATCGCAAACTATCCAGCTAATTTGCGTCTTCATCAGACCGAAGCAGCAATTAGCGGGATATTTGGTCGGGATTGTCATCCCAAGATATATTGGGATAGTTTGCAAAATATCCCGCTATTGGGTAAAATATCCAGCTATTTGTCCCACGCGTCTGCACCAGACCGAAGGCTCGCACTATGCGCTAACGTTGAGCAAAATATCTCGAGCTAATTTCTCAAGGTCGAGTTTCAAGTTTCGAAGTCGAACCTCGAGCTGATGAAAATGCGATTTGTAACTTCGGGATTATTTCCCAAATCACAAATAGCGGGCTATTTGGCAATCTCGAGATGATGAAAACGCGCCTACCGTTCAGTTGTTCAGATGTGACGCGGTAAACCGCAGCGGTTTTTAAAAAAATTGTAAACAAATGACAACTGCGCACAAGACCCTATACGTATTCACTGAGCTCTGTGTTATAAGATACATACATTTTGAATCGTATTACACTATACGTCATTATTACAACAACAACAACAAAAACGCGGTTCCCGTTGTATATCTAGATAATAATTAACTTAGAATGTAGTTATCAGTATTTCTTTAAATGAGGAATGATAGAATAAGTAAATACTTTGGACAGTATTTGAAAAATATTGCACGTCCATGTGTTGTTTCTATCTTGTTTCCATTCTATAATTTTTCTTTTTTTATCTTGTTTATTTCCTCTTCTTTTCTCTTTTCCCCATGCTTCCTAAAAAGTATGTTGTCCTTGGTTTATATAAGTTCACTTTTCATCCTCTTTATTCACATTACGATTCAGCCGGACCTCTGTTCTTTTCTTCTTATCTAATAGTGTCTGCCTCAAGTTTCTTTTCAGCACACATCACGAACGGCTTTCCGATTCAGATTAAATTATTTACCATTTCCAATAACAATGCAGAATACCATTAGCATAAGAAAAACAAATATTTTTGAAGATAATTTGCGTAACTCTAATAGAATAATAACTAAACACCAATAAATTAACATTGGACGATTCACATGATTGTAATAACTGTATTAAAATTGATGATTTGAAAATAGTAGGCCGTGTCAAAGAGCTTAGCTAGTATTTCACATGCCCCAAACTAATTTAAAATAATCTATAATTGAGCCACTGAATAAAATCATTAGACAAAATATCATTACGAACAAAGGAAATTTAGAGAAGAAGAAAGATGGGATAGAGTAGGTGCACATGGGCAGTTATCTCCACCCCCGAACAAAAGTAGGTGAGAACGGTTAATCAGTTAATTTTTTGTAGATCATAGAAATGGTCAGTCGTTTTTTAGAACGCTTCGTGACACAAATAAAACCGCATGACTTGTAATTGTATATATATAATTGAAACTCCACCAATATTTCTCGACAATATATAGGCTAAAGTGTGCCCTCTGGGACGTCACAATAATTATTAAATGTTTGTCAAAATGCTTGCACGTAGGCCTATATCTTATTGCCGTGCACTTGTGTAACCTCAAAATAAAGAGGGACATTTTTTTTTTATGAAAATATTTTAAACAAAAAAAAGAGGCCATCAATTTTGTTCCTAAATTTGACTCTACTAGATTATTTTTATCTTGATTTTAATGTCATAGTCAATGTGAGGAAAATCCCAATCGCATACGAGCACTTTATCAATATCAGGACAACATAACTGTACCGATGTATTGAGAACCCCCTTCCCCCCCCCCCCAAAAAAAAAAAAAAAACACAACAACAACAAACAAACAAAAAAAAAAAGAAAAGAAAAAAAGGATAGTTATACAGTGTCACCTCTTTTAAAAATCCAATATCTGTCCTTGCTTTAGTTCACCCTTACCGTTTGACATTATCCAAAATAAATATGAAAACAAGCATTTACTGTCACCTCTCTCCGTCATGGTCATGTTCCCGAAATACTTTAAAAAGAAGTATTTTGAGTGTTTGTGATCGGCTGATTTGGATTCTCACTCAACTGTCTCTCCCACACCGTCACGTTAAGAACGAGGGTGAAAACACGTGTTCTCATGACACAAAATTTAGCCAAGACAAATCTCTCGATACGTCTTTAAGAATCGAGAACAAGGATCGGAAAGCTTTTCTCCCACATCGTCTGACCAACACTGGAAATGAAGAATCTGTTGGTGATGGTGAGAGTTCAAAAACCTTGAAATACGTCAGCAGATATCATGCCACAAAAATAATATGCAATCTTTTATCGGGTATGATGTGTTTTTACCCCGTAAACAACTTCTTCTCAAACTGCTGC